TCGGGGGAGGCAGCCGGGCCGGGGTCCCTGCTCTGTGCTGACCTCGCTCTTGCTCCTTCTTTCAGGTGGCCTCATCCTGCCAGCCCCTTCCCCCGCCTGAGCTGGTAAGTGCCAAGTCCATCTGTCCCCATTCACACCCCACTGGCGATCTGAGCCATGGCTCCTCTGGCTTTTAACATGCGGAGGGGGACGGGGAGGGGGCATTTTCCTTGTGCCAGCCCTGGGAGCCACCAGCCTGCTGTCTTGAGCTGGGTTCGATCTCGCCAGACCACGGGGTCAGGGGATGGCTCAGGAAACCCCGGGCAGGAGGGTGGGGGGTCAGAAAGGAGCACGCATTCCTCTGTCCCAGCGCCAGCCCTGGGCACTGCTGGAGGTGCCATCTTTCACGCCAAAGGGAGAACCAAGGTGATTCCTGCTCCTTCCGTATCTGCCGGGACTTTTTTCACGAGCAGGAGCCATATCCACCCGGCCCCGGTCAGATTCCAAGCTGGGTAATTCCAAGTGGTCTCCGCTGGATTGTGCAATGCCAGGCTCCCTGTTGGGGCCAACAGCAGGGATGAAACCTGGCTCCTAGTGAGTGAGCTAACAGACCTACCTCGCCTCGCCTCTCTGGCTGGGGGGCACAGAGCCACCGGAGAGGCACAGCACCCTTGGCATGGAATAGAGTCAGAGTCACTTCCTGTCCTAAACAGGATGCAGTGTAGCTGCTAATGAGCTCCTGCGTTCTACCCCAGAACTAGCAGCATTTCAGTGCTGAGTGAGCCATTCCTGGATGGCTGCTTTGGATGCTCTGGTGTTTGCGTCTCGTTAGAGCCCCTGAATAGTCTGTTGTGAGGCTGGGGAAATTCCCGGGGCTTTTTCTTCCCCAGTGGAAAGTGACACGGATACCCATATGCAGTGCAAGCCTTGGAATTGGGTGGCATCCGGGTTTCAGTGGCAAGCTGGGATAACCTCACTGGGTGGAGCATTTCCTGGTGACCGGTTCTTGGGGCAGAATGGAGACCAGAACAATTGAGAGCTCATGGGAGTGGGTTGAACTTTCCCTCCCAAGGTTGCTGGCCAGCGCTGGATTAGGGCAGCTACTTGTCTGTGGTGTGTTGTTTGCAGAGCAGCCGGTGCATAGGCAGGGCTGCAACTAAAAGCCAGTCATTGCTTTGTGTTCAGAGGCCCCTCATAAGCTGAGGTGCTAAACTGTAGCTTGGTTGGGTCCAAATCTGACCCTGCCATAGGCCAGCCCATGGCTGCCTGCAGTGCACCCACACCTAGGTGCTGCACTGCGGCATGTCAGCAATGCATTAGCGCGGGGGAAGCGTGGTGCACAAACAGCTGGCGTAGACGTAAGGCCTGGGACCTGGTGCCGGGTGAGCTCATCCCTTGGCAGTAAAAAATCATCCCACCCCTCCTGGTCAGAGAAGATCCAGCTGCAGCATCTCCCAGCCAGTGGCTTTGGCAGGAGGGTTTCTCTGGCCTGAGACAGGAAAGTCCCCTGGGAAACTCTCCAAGGCCTGATTCTCCACCGTGCTTTGCCTCAGGTGGCCCTCACACCAGGGCACAGCAGTGTGTGATGGACACTCAGGTGAGTAGAGGGCTGGTTTTGCCAGAGGTGGAAGTGGGACTCAAGAAGCCTGGGTTCAAATCCCTGATCTGTCACAGGCTTCATGTGACCTTGGGTAAGTCACTCAATTGCTCTGTGCCTCAGTTTCCCCCCTTGTACAACAGGGATAATAGCCCTGCCCTTCCTCACGGGGTGCCTCAGCCCTGCCTAGAATTTCCAAGCTACTCAAGCCCATGGTATCTCTAGCCAGATGCTCCCAAGGAAGCAGCTGATGTAGCACTAACCTCTGCAGGCAGGTTCCTGACCCCAGCCGGTGTTGGGCATGAAGCATGGAGATGGACCACACTGGTTAGCTTTCTTGGTGCAGTCAGGTGGATGGTGTCCAGTTGGGAGCCTAGGAGGCTCCTAGGAGGCTCTTTGGTCCATTGGGCACCTAAATAACTGGCTGGATTTCCACCAACAACCCCTGTGAACCTCAACAGCTTTGCTCTTAATGGCCGTGAAACATACAAGGCTGGCTGCCTGCTCGGCACTCGTCCTCCACAGCCACAGCCAGCCCTGGCCACTGCTAGGAGACAGGCTACTGGGCCGGACAGACCAGGAGCTGCCATCTCCTCTGGGAGGACAGGCCATTGGTGACCTTTAGACTGAACAGGCCCCTGCTGCTGTGGCCTGCACTGCCCTCTGCATCGCAGGAGTCAGTCTTAGTCCCATGCGCCTGGAGAGCCCGATGTGCCCATGGCCAGTGCCAGCATGTTGGGTAACTCCAGCACTGCCCCCAGCTTGCGAGCCTAGGGCTGAGAAGCTCCTGGAACTAAGAGCCCTTTGGCCAGCGTGAGCTTTCCCCACCTGCCCACGCTGATCCCGGGAAGAGCAGGCGAATCCTTTCCCATGGCGATTCCTCACCCTGACATCCGTGTCACTTCCTGCTGCCCATCACTGGTGCCAGCTGGGCTCTGGCTTATCTAGGAAGGAAATGGGGCCCCAATTCAGAGGAATAACGCACGAGGCAGCTTTGGTCGCTCCCAGCACCATCGGGTGCCCACTGGGAGGCCGAAGGCAGGGCTGGGGCTCGTGCCTTGCTGCCACCTGCCTCAGAGGGCTCAGCTGGAATTAGAACCCACCGTGCTAGGCACATGACAGCTGCCCCCAGTGCTCTGGAGCTAGAAGCACATAGTGCTGAAGCACCAGCGGAAAGTGAAAGACAGGGGTTCACACAACAGACAAGAGGGACGCACAATCTAGCATAGGGATAAAGTGTGGGAACGGAAACTGAGGCACTCAGGCTCACCGCAGGTCACACAGCAGCTCAGTGGCAGAGGTGGGACTCAAACCTAAGTCTCCAGCATTCTTTTGGCTACTGGGCTACCTCTGCTAACAAGCAGGGAGCTCCATTAGCTGTGCCTGTCAACATGGTGCCTTTGAGGTCTGCCACTGACCTGCCCCCTGCTGCTGACGCTGTCCTGTTCCCCCACCCCCAGCTCCAGGCTGCATCACGCTGTCAGAGCTTGTGGGACCTGGAGAGGTTTACAGACTCCAGCTGCTGACCTCAGGGCCAGCTGGCTTGGCGCCCAGGCCTGACGCTGTTGCACTGTTTGCATGGTTTTCCATCTCCTTCTCCTCACTCGTCAACTCCCCCTTCTCTCTCTTCCCCGTTTCCCTTACACCAGAGGCGGAACACCACTCCAGCCCGGCGCATCGAGCACTTGGTGAGTCCCCCCTCGATGGACCCTTCTGTGCCCCCGTGGGGGAGAGAAGGGACCGCACCCCAAATCCATGCTCCATTCCCATCCAGCTTGGGGATGGCTGGACGCTGGGATTTTTTTATGACAGGCTACAGGAATGACCACCCCAAAATCAGGTGTGTTTCAAAGGGATCTGAGCATAGATTGCTGAGGCAGCGACTTCTCCCAGTCAGAGCTGAGGGTGCCACCCTTCATTGCTTAGCCAAGAGGCCAACAACCTAGCTGGACGGGGACCAGCTCATCCCAAAGGGGGGGCAGAGGCAGGGTGGAGGAGGCGGCGGGTGGGGGGGAGTTAGGCAGACCTGGGAAGTAGCCATGGGGTTTGCTGACCCATCGTTCCTGGGAAATTCAGCCTCAGGGAGCCTTCTTCCTGCAGGGCAGAGGTAGGGCTGCCCCATGGACTCTGTCCCATCCATTTCGGTGACACTGTGTGGGGGGCCAGCCCCCAAAACCCTTCCCTTGGGGGTGGTGCGCGTGTGTGTGCATGTGTATTGGGGGGCATTTGCCAGGAGCAGGCTCCCTGAAGCGGGGAGCTTGCAAGGGGACCCTTCCAGACTCCTGTATGGTTATTTCCGCACGAACCAGGCATGTAAGGGACCTGGGCCGTGGGGTTCAAAGCCAGGGAAAAAGGGGGAATGGTGGGAAGAGGGTTGATTGTAGCCCCCAGTCTTGTCCAACGAGGCGTACAGATAGTTTGGAATGGCTTGCTAGTCCAAACTATCTAGCCCGTGCCGCATGTAGCCGCGCGGCACGGGGTTTGAACAAGCCGGCATTTAAAAATGGCGCCGGCTGGCTTATGCAAATAAAGCCCGGGAAATTCAAATCCCAGGCTTCATTTGCACGTTCGGTATGCATACATTACCCTGCTAGTTCGCACTAGCGGGGTAGTGTAGACATACCCTCAGAGGGGGAGGCGAGTGGAGAACTCCGCCCGCCCTCTGGGCTGGACGCCCACAGCCAGTTCCATAAAGTCAGCAGGACTCTGGGAATAGAGGGAGGGCAGCTTGGATCCCGGCCTCTGACATTCCCAGAGGGCTGGCGAGCTGCAGGCCATGCGCGGGTGGGACCCGTCCCATGCTCCCTGCTCCCCACCGGCTGTTCCTGCCCAGCTGCCTATCCTGCCCCATGGCCTGGCCCTAAAGTGATGGTTCAGTTCCAAGGAGCTGAGCACAGGGGCCTCAGTTTCCCCTTTGACCGGCTTCTCCCCTCCCATCCCCCAGGGCTCGACCAAATCCCTCCACAGCACCAAGCAACGGAGCACGCTACCCAGGTGAGTGGGTGGGGCTGGCAGGGAGGGAGGGAACTCAGCCACGAGAGGGGATCCACTGGCCAGGGGGTTGCATGTGGGTGCACAAGGTGAGGTGAAGCCAGGCACCCAGCTGCTGGCATGTCCCTGACTCCCCCACCCTCCTCCAGGAGCTTCAGCCTGGACCACGTGATGGAACGCAAGTACGACTTTGACCTCACCTACATCACCGAGCGCATCATCTCCGTTTTCTTCCCCCCCGCCCTGGAGGAGCAGCGTTACCGCGGCAACCTGCGGGAGGTGGCACAAATGCTCAAGTCCAAGCATGAGGATAAGTACATGGTATGGGAGGGAGCCAGGGAAAGGCAGCTGGGGCTAGTGGGTAGAGCAGGGGGAGGGGCTGAGAGCCAGCACTCCTCGGTTCGATCCAGAGTTCTGGTGGGGGGGTCTGGTGGTTAGAGTGTGGGGGACTGGGGGCCACTGACGTGTCCTGTGACCTTGCGTGAGTCTCAAGTGCCTCGGTTTCCATGTTGTAGCTGGCCAGGGATAACAGTGTCTGTCCCTCTGCCCCGGTGAGGTTTCCTCCATGTGCGCGTGGGCTTTGTGCTCCGGCTGGGCCCTGGCGCACTGCAGTCAGGCAGGCAGGGGCTGCGACTGGAGGCTCCACCCTGGGGAGGGTCTCCCACCAAGCTCTTCAGGCTGCAGTTGGGGCTGGAGGGTTTCGGGGTGCCAGCTGGGCGCAGCCAATGAACTCGCTCTCTGCCTTGCAGCTTTTCAACTTGTCCGAGAAGCGCCGCGACATCAGCAGGCTGAACCCCAAGGTGAGAGGGGAGAGGTGCCCCCGGCCTGCGGGGATCCCCGCGTTCTGCCAGGGAAGGGACAATGGGATCTCGCTGCCTAGCTCTGAGCTGGCTCTTCCCAGGAATCTCACTGCTCCCCTCCTAATTGGTGCAGGTTCAGGATTTCGGATGGCCGGACTTGCACGCACCCCCCCTGGACAAGATCTGCTCCATCTGCAAAGCCATGGAGACCTGGCTGAACGCTGCCCCCCAGCACGTGGTGGTGCTGCATTGCAAGGTGGGGGCAGGACACAGCTGGGAATGGGGGTGACGGGGGAGGTGGGGCTGGGCAGGGCCAGGTCCTGCCAGGGCAGGGCTGCCAGGGAAGGGACAATGGGATCTCGCTGCCTAGCTCTGAGCTGGCTCTTCCCAGGAATCTCACTGCTCCCCTCCTAATTGGTGCAGGTTCAGGATTTCGGATGGCCGGACTTGCACGCACCCCCCCTGGACAAGATCTGCTCCATCTGCAAAGCCATGGAGACCTGGCTGAACGCTGCCCCCCAGCACGTGGTGGTGCTGCATTGCAAGGTGGGGGCAGGACACAGCCAGGAATGGGGGTGACGGGGGAGGTGGGGCTGGGCAGGGCCAGGTCCTGCCAGGGTGGGGCAACTCAGGCAGCTGCACACATGGGGAGTTCTGTGTTGCTCAGCCAGGCCCCAGTGCAAATGGGGGGCTGCCCCTCCACACACACTGCGTGACCGGGGGCTCCCCTGGTGGAGGCTGGGAGCCAGGGGGCTGGGCAACCCAGTGCAGCAGGGGGGAGAGGGGGAGTGCTGGGAGCCGGGGACTGAACGCAAGAGGCCGGGGGGGCAGGACACATACCGGCCCTGACGTTCTTGCTTTGTTGCAGGGCAACAAGGGCAAGACGGGCGTCATCGTGGCAGCCTACATGCATTACAGCAAGATCTCTGCCAGGTACAGGGAGGGGTGAGCCCCCCACATGTGGCTCCTCTATTTCCAGCACCCGCTGGCTGCTTCCCCTTGGCCCAGACCCACTGCTCCAGGCCAGCTCCCTCCCTCCTCCCAGTCACTCCTCCTCTCCCGTCCCCTAGCATCTTCCTTCACCTGACAGA